GAATATAAGAAAAATACTGTCTATTATTATTATAAAGAATGACACCTTGGACCAATAAACTTGGAGTTCACTATCACCTCACCAAATTAAAACTCCTTGCCATCTTCATTTTAGAAATATTGATTATTTTTGAAGTATTGAAGTTATAATATTCTTAACAATGACTCCAAGTTGTTTATTACGCGGTGTTTAATATTTGGTTATTTTTTAATGGAGTTTTTCACACACACAAAAAAAAATTAGTCAAGGGTTCAAATTCAAGACATATGATTAAATGTGAAGGGATGTCAATTAATCATCACAATTCATATTGATTTTAATTTGTCATTTGCTATTGCATTTTATTTTCTCCTCTAATTACATGTATTTTCAAGCATTCATTCATTTTGTGTATTCTTTTTGGAAAAAAAAATGTTTTGTATTTTCTTACGTATTGAACGTTTTTTTTTTTCATTTGGGGTAGTGCTCCAAACAAAATATTTTTTATATTCAAAGCTCAAACTCAGAATCTTTGACTAAGAATAAAATAGTTTCACTACTACACCACATATATGAATCCACGTTGGCCATATTGAAAGTTATGATTCCATAACTCCAACGCCTGCGTAATTTTTGTATGTCAAACGCTGTCACCTTTATTATTTTAAAAATTTGAAGCTGGAATAATAGTCTAATTTGATAAATAAATATTTATTTGAAAATTTATAAAATCTATGGACATAAATATTTCTTGCTTTATGAAGCTTCTTTCCATGATGACGTAAATTACACTTTGCATCCTCAAAGTCCAAAGTTGCCTCTTTAAATACGTTGAAAGTTAGCTATAAATATCTGCCCAATAATATTCTAGAACATGAAGACCACTGCAAAATTATATTGTGATAAACTCTACTTTTTTTTAAAGATTTAAATTAAACCAACTTTGTCCTACAACACGTATGAATAACGTGGATTAAGATTTTTTATTTCATTTTTTAAAAAAAACGATTGGACACACAACACAACTATAAATACGACATTTTTGTAGTTCAAATATACAAGGACTTTTAAGATTTGAACCAAAGACTTGGGATGTTTGATTGTTCGTATTGTTTAATCGGAAAATGGTATAATTGAATTTGTTACGAAATTAAGGACATATGTATTAATTTAAATTGGTGAGTATGCTCTAAGTAGAAATGTTATCAAATGAACTTGTTGTTTATAGAGCAATAATAAAGTAAAGTATGTCAAGGAAATAATAGATCGGAATTAAGATGTTTGATATTTCAGTACGAATGTGAAAATAATAAAGTGCGTTTGATTTTTGAATTTGGAGATAATTTAGTTCAAGTTGCTTGAGATCTAAGACTTAGTAAGGAATATAGAAATAATATAGAGCTTGGAGTACAAGAATATCAATGTAATTATAATTTTTAATATTGACAAAAATTCAACCATGTACAAGTAAGTAAAAACTATATTATTTATAGGCACCCAAAGTAATATAATAAATCAGTAACCAACAGGAGAGGTTCACTAGAACCCTAAAGTACTACGCCCAACAAAAATGTTCTATTTGGAAATATTATTACTCGTGCCAGCTAATATTCCTCTGTAATTTGTAGAATCTCATATGGATATATCTGGCGTCACTATCCTTTTGTCCTTTTATTCTCTGTTTTTGAGAAACACAAGTCTTTTTTATTCTCCTTTTGTGATTTTGAGCCACGAGTTTCCGTCTTATTTTTTCATAATGACCATCCAATCAACCCAATAATAAAAAAGAATCAAGCTAATCGGTCATTCATTAAATCAAACATTCAAATTGAGTTTCTACCTATTTTCTAATCCCAACCAAAACTGCACATGAAGTATTAAAAAAAAATCTTAAATTAGGTTCGAAGAGAAAGATGATTAAAGTATTGTATGATTAAACACAAGTTCACATGAAATTCGCTATTAGGCTTAATAATATAGTCGAAAGGACAAATCTATGAACTTTATTATGCCAAAACAAAAACTATACATATATATCATGAACTTGAATTTTTACGAATGTAATACTAGAGCAAATTTACACAAATCACGATACGATGGTAAAACAAATCTCAATAGAGACGGTGCAGGTGCATCCTTACTACCTACTGAAATGTATGCTTGGCCCATGACAGAAAACATACTAATAAAGATAGGTCAAAGAATTTTTTTTGATAAACTTCCAAAATATTGAAATTGGAAGAAGAAGAAAAATTAAAGATGATTTTTTTTCTTTCTTGATGCTGAAACAACTTGTTCTTTCTGACCCGATTTAAAAATAGAATAACTTATTCTTTCTGATCCGATTTTAAATAGGTGTATATGACATCATAAGAAAGAAAGAAATATAAACATAACAAACCACAAGTTTTATGATACACACTTTTAAGCAAACATTTTGATGTCTATTGTACCAAATTAAGCAGCAATACATGCAATAAACTTAGGTTGTGATAATCAACTAATTCTTTCACTATAGTTTTCTTAAACCTTTTGGGCCTCATTTAATTGTATTTCATGAAGGTATTTAACTTGATAATTTAAATCTCAAATTGTGATTTATTAGTTTATATATGCTTGAAACTTAATTATCTAAATTTTATTTATAAAATGTATTTATTTTCTTATTTTGAATTTTTCTTAATGGATTTGAATAGATATGTATGATGAAGATTAACAAGAAAAATATTATATATTCAAGGATCTTTGCAAAGATGACATTTTACCACAATCATATCCACTCTCATAATTGTTGTCACTCTCGCACACCATTATCAAACTACCATGATCAACGATTCATTGTCGTCAATCATTGCAGTGAATTATCATCATCATTAACCATCATATACAATTATCATTATTATAATAACCACCGATCATCATCGTAAGTGACTCTTATATATCATCGCCCTGCATCATTATCAACAACTATCATTATTAACTATCACTATCATCTTCAATAATTATTAATTATCATCACTAATCATTAACTATTACTGCCAACTACAACCACCAGTAGCTGGTACCCATATTCACATCAACAGTCAATACCAACATCCATCGACACCCAAAACAAACACCATTAACTGTCGCCATCACCAACTACAACATATTTTTAAAAATAATTTACTAATATAACATGAAGACTTGAGGGTGGGGAGGGAAAGTAGATCCTTTGTGTAAATAATAGACCTTGATGGTTTTGAACTTGTATTTGGAGAATAATATAGAGAATAGGGTTGGAATGCCCTCTAATGTCATTAATACTTACCTAAAAATTATCACATCTACTCAATAACTAAGACGTGTGTCATTTTTTCTTACTTTTGAATATGTTTTTCATCTTTAGTAGGCGTTTGGCCATGCGATATCATATCACGATATGGTGTCGTGAGATGAAATCAGCGTTTGGACATGCGATTTTACGCTGATTTCATCTCTTGATTCCATATCATGAGAGGTGATATCATATTCTCCAAAAACCATGATATGGAATCACCATGTGATTTCATATCATGATTTGAGATATTTTAATACAATAATTGATCCACGAGTTTATATTTTGTTAAAACAACTCCATATTTATATCTACTAACCATTTGTTTCATATGTAAATAAAATTTATAATCACATCATTACTTTTTAAAATTTATTATTCTCACCAATATAAAATTTATTATCACTTTAAATTTGGTGAATATAAATGATAAAGTAGAAATTCATTTGGTGAATATAAATGAGAACAAAGGGAGTAATACTTTTTTGATTTTTCATAATAAAAAAAAAACGTCTTAATCTTATGACTAAGCATAATATTGATAAAAGACAATTTTCATTGGCGGTGCCGCACTTTCTTAATCTTAGTATTTGCAAAATGTTCGTTCACATGACTGAAGGATATCAAGTCCAATTGATTGAGGACTTAGGAAAATTTGATCAATTAGTTATTAATATTTAGTCAAGTGGACTAGTTATAATTTTTTTGATTAAATTTTATTAGAAGTGTTTTTGACTCAAACTTGTGGTAACTTTTTAAAATTTCGTTATTCAATAATATTTAACTATTGATTTTTCTTGTAAATAGTTAGAAGTTAATGATGTTTGTTAATTTTTATCTTAGTGCATTTAACTTCTAAGTTAATATTTACTCACTAATGTATGTTTTTTTTCTACTTTATATGTTATTTGTAAGAGTAGTTGAGAGATATGAACATATCAAGTACAATTTATGTTCAATTTTTTTTAATTAAATTAAAGTTAGATGAAACAATTATTTAACTGAAAAACAAATAACTTTGTAATAATTTATTATGCGATTTTATAATTTTTGTTTATTTGATAAGATTGAATAAACAATTGGGGCTATTTTAATAGTTTACAACTTATGGGATTTTTATGTTTATGAGAAAATATACAACACAAAAATTTCATATCACATGTCCAAACAAACCTTCAATTTCATCTCATGATTCCATATCATGATACTATATCATGATACCATATCGCATGGCCAAACGGACCCTTAATCTCATTTTCCGTTGACTAGCTAGACACACACATTTACATAGCATAATACAAATCAATTTGAATGTATCACACATGAAACGTCACGTAAAACTCCACATAAGATTTATATATCTACTTGTTCAACTTTATATAAATTAAATTATCTATTTATATCCAAAATAAAAACTGAATCAAATTAAAAAATACATTTACATATTATCCTTATCTATCCATCTCGATATCACTATAGTTGGACGGAAGGTCCAATAGTTTTTCGAATTCTATTTGTTGTATGATTGTATCTACCAATGTAGTGGTAATTTATTTCCCTCCTTTAAATTTGGGTCAGCATTAAATTGTCAATTGTAGCTAATACTGCATTTATCAACTTTATTTATTTATTCACCTTATTTATTTATATTAGTATATAGTATTTATATTATATTGTGATATATATATATTTATATTTATAGTAGTTTTTCTTTAACCCAGATGATCTGGGTCGCCCCCATTGTTTGAAAAAAACGACCCCCTGAGAGAGCTCAAACAGTGGATCTGACGCAAACCCACTTAGATTTTCTTGTTTACAGCCCTCAGATCTCTTCAAAAAAATCGATTCTTTGTGTAATCTAATTGATTGATTTTCCTCTTTTTCGAAGTTTTCTCTGCAATCCAACAGTAATTGGGTTGTAAAAACGGAGTCTTTTTAAGGTGGAAGGCACAATTAACAATGGGGTCGAAGAAGAAAACAGCATCCCAGAAAAATTCTCGTTCTGCTTCTCCAGTTAAAGAGATGGCAATTTCAGGCAAGTTTTTGGTTTGGGGTTCTCTTTGTTTTATTTTATTTTTAATGGATAACTAGGGAAGAGAAAAAAAGAGGAAAAGATAGAGTTGTTAATGGATTAGGTTGTGATTTTGGATATGGGTATGTATTAATACTTGCTAGAAATAAATAAATGTAGCATCTTTGTTAATTTGATGACTGCATCTACTGTATGAAGGTGTAAATCTGAGTCCTTAATGTTGAATTAATGAACACTTGTGTTTTGTTGGGTGGGGGTGGGGGTGGGAGGGGGGGAGACAAAATATATGTTATTGTAATTTCTCCTGATGTGGGATGTGTAGCTATTTTTCTCATAATTGCTTGTAATAAGCATGGTGCTGTTTTTATGGAGAATCTTGGAAAATTTATTGTTGAGGAATCTAGATACATGGAGTCAAAAGTGAGGAAAATGCTTAACTAAGAAAATAGATTGTAATGGGTCAATTTTAGTACACCGTTATTGTCGCGCAACAAGGTATGGAGTTATTGAGATATAGCAATGAGTTTTTGGATCATTCCGAGGCACGTGGAATCAGAAGAACCGATGTGGCAATACCGTGCCAATTTAAGTTGTTTGTATGCGTTCGGCTTATCATTGTGTTTTTTTGTTTTGTTTATGGTATCGAAACATGAATGCTGAACCCATTATGCATCTTGGTTGATGTATCCTTCTTCATGGGATGGGAGCATTTCTTTTAAGTATGTTCATTTAAGCAGTTTTCTGTTTAATTCTTCCAGTCACTGTGGAGACTGGAGAGTATTATATAGACGTTATAAACAGTCACGGACAGAAGATATGTCTGCAGTTTTTGTTGCATTTTGAATGGATTGTTTGGCTGTAGCATCACAAAGGTGACACTTAATCAGGAGAAGTATCAGTCTGTGGCAGAAGAAACTTGGTCATTCATGTCCTACTTTATGCACCTTAGTCTTCGTGATTGTGAGAAATATTGGAAAAGAATATTATTGAATTGTTGTTGTGTCTACATTATTACATTGAGACCCTATTTATAGACCCTAGAATACAATCCTTTACCAAGTAGGATACTATTTAGTATTCCTATTTCTATTTCTATTCCTATTCCTATTCTAATAGGATTGTGTAAACCTATTCCTATTCTTATAGGATTGTATAAACCTATTCCTATTCTTATAGGATTGTATAAACATATTCCTATTCTAATCGGATTGTATAAACCTATTCATATTCTAACACTCCCCCTCAAGCTAGTGCATACAATTCATGTACCTAGCTTGTTACAAATGTAATTAACACACGGACCGATGAGGGGCTTGGTGAGATATCTGCAAGTTGATCACTCGACTTCACAAAATTGACAATCAATCTCAATGTGCTTGGTCTTCTCATGAAATACTAAATTTGATGCATAATGCCGATAAAATACAGAGTGATAAAATTACAGTGTTGGAACATCCCAAACCAAGCTTACAAAGACTGTTTCAGACCATAGAGTGACTTACGTAATCAACATACAAGACTACTAAACTCCCCCTGAGCAACAAAATTAGGTGGTTGCTCCATATATACTTCTTCACAATGCAATGGTCGTTGCAAGTGCTCAAAATCTAGTATAAAGTATATGGATCATGTTGGAATCAATAGACGAGTCGATATTAAACAAGTAACCAGCCGAAACATGCTCATATGTCGGAGTATTAGATTTGATGGCTAAAAGTGGTCACAATCTAAGAAATAAAATTATATGGGTAGGGTCGGAATGATGTCATGACCCAACTAGAAAATAGAAATTATATAGGATAGTTCGAATTGATGGAACGACCCCATTGAAAAAGAGAAATAATATGGGTTGGGTCGGAATGATGGCACGACCCAGCTGAAAAAGTAAAATTTATACGGGTAGGGTTGGAATGATGGCACAACCCTACGCAAATCAGATTTGAGGAGTCACCGGAAAGACGAATGGAACTATGCAAATCAAATATGAGTCACTGAAAAGACACATGATGCTATGCAACTCAGATATGAGAAAATAGTTCGAAAAAAAATCCACGGTACTACACAAATTAAATATGAAAAGTAGTCTGAAAAGATGCACGGTGCTACACAAATAAGATATGCAAAAAAAAGGTAGTCACCGGAAGGATGTCACGGTGCTACACAAATTATATATGAAAAAGTAGTCACTGGAATGATGACACAGTGCTACACAAAAAAGTAGACACCAAAATGATGGCACGGTGCTACAAAAATTAAATATGAAAAAGTAGTCACCGGAATGATAGCACGGTGCTACACAAATTAGATATAAGAAAATAGTCACCGGAATGATGGCACGGTGTTACACAAATTAGATGTGAGAAAATAGTCACCAGATAGATACACGGTGACCCAACTTTTGCTAACATAATCATTGGCCAGACGGGCAGCATCTATGGGTGCCACCCGCCGGCAGCGGAAGCTCTTTAATTCTCTACCAAGTTCGTAGAGGCTCTGATACCATGTGAGAAATATTGGAAAAGAATATTATTGAATTGTTGTTGTGTCTACATTATTACATTGAGACCCTATTTATAGACCCTAGAATACAATCCTTTACCAAGTAGGATACTATTTAGTATTCCTATTTCTAATTCTATTCCTATTCCTATTCTAATAGGATTGTATAAACCTATTCCTATTCTTATAGGATTGTATAAACCTATTCCTATTCTAATCGGATTGTATAAACCTATTCATATTCTAACAGTGATCATATGCCAAATTCTATTGAAGATTTCTTGTTTTCCTATATACTCAGCTAGTGAACTCCTATACTGGAAATCTTGTACTCATATCATTTGGTTTAATAAGGTCACCTCATCAGCTTCTTTTTGGAGAACAGACAGTTATCTATAATTGTGGGCTTGATGTCTCATTGGCATTTAAATATAAGATGAAGTGTTTCAAAGTAGTACCATTTAGTAGGTTCTCATCTGGACTAGATTAGTTGAAGCTTCATCCTAGTTTTGTAATTTGGTTAAAGATCATCTACTTCATTTGGAGATTGTTGTGTCAGTAGTCCATTTTTAGCACAGCTAAGCATTAAACTAGATAATACTCTTTGGGGTCGTTTTGGTAGAGTGTATAAGAATAATGCTAAATATAGTGTGTTAGTAATGTTTGTATTAGTTATACTTGCATTTATTATACATAGGATATTTTTATGCATTGTCCGGTTTGGTGCATTAAAAATAGCATGCATTGTATACAAAAAATTATTTACAAAGATACAATCCACAATTATGGTGGAAAAGATGTTTTTGAGGGGCAATTGAGTCTTTAACCATGCTAATGCATGCATTAAAACCATTGCATTACTAATACCTAGAAATCCATAAATCCATGGTATTAGTAATACACACCTTAATACACAATAGAGTGTATAACTAATGCAAGACATTGGTTCGAAAAGAGTACCAAACAAGGTACTAGTAATAGTACCTATAGTGTAATACACAAAGATGCATGCATTATTTTTCCTAATACACTCTCTACCGAATGACCCCTTTTAGTTTGAATACGTGGAGTAAAATATACAACATAGAATAATAACTGGCAGGGATTAAAGTCAGTGGAACATATTTCATACACTGAACCACATCTGCACTGGTTTAAAGTGGATGAAGTCAGATTGAAGCAAATTATTTATAGCCAATATGCTAAATTCCCTATAAATCCTGTTTAGTATTGTCCCAGATTTGTCATGAAGGTATAATCCAGACCCCAATGGAGTTAGTTGTGGATTGGAAAAGCTAGGATCCCACTTTGTTGTACTATGCAGAGTCTGATCAATGCTTTATGTTTATATCCCTTACATCTGTTTTTTTGAGATCGTTTCTTATTTTGTGCCGAAGCACTTTCTAAAGCACATGCTTTCGACTGAGAAGGGGGTCCACCTTCTTCTTTTAATTATTTTTCATGAATGTGGTGTCTGGGCCAATTTTCGCGCACCTCGACTAATTCCACTGGATACATGCCACCTCCCACTAGCATAGGTACCATGTAACTTTGTTCACCAAGGCTAGGACAGATGGAAAGAATCACTTAGTGTTTTTTTTGTCTCCGCTGGGATTTGAACCTGAGACCTCATAGCTCTCAACCACTTCATTGACATGGTGAAGATGAAATGTTAAGGCCTTTGAAGTTTTTGATTTTTCTCAATATTTTTTTCCCTATTTTTTGGTAGTTGTTTTCTCCTTTTATTTAAGCCCCAATCTTATTTCGGTTGAGACTTTTGTTATCCGCAACAGTGCCATATTTATTCCAATTCTGGGTAGAGCCGTAGAGCAGTGCGACTTTCGTTTGATAATATCATTTAATATATGGTTACTAGATGGCTGATAAACATGATGAGCTAGAACTACATGATGCATTGTGCGCTTCTCTTTATATTTTTATAAAACGTGAGATTTGGAATGTCCTTTTGATTCTGAAGACATGGAAAGACAACTTAAGGCATGTGGCCAGAAGAGAAAATTTGTAGAAATTGAAACATTCATGTTCTTGAACTATGATATATCAAACTTCTCAGAAAGTAACACTTACCTTTCTAAATAAAAAGAACTTGGAAAGTAGCTTTTTTAGGAACTGCTATTATCGCCAAATTTAGAAGGTATTATCTTTTAGATTGTGTAACTTATAGAGATAAAAGAATAAAAAAGTAACTTGTAGAGATAAAAGTTCTAATATTTGGAAGCTTATGTCATACCTATGGTATCATGGTATGTATGAGGATAACAAATAGTACACTTTAATTAACTGAATGAGAAATTCAATTCTTTTCTGAAAAATGATTGTAGAATTATCAATGAGAAAACTCAAACGTTCTAATTGATATGATTGAACAAAATAGAAAGTAAAGTAATAGGCATGTCTCATCAATTTGGTTGATCAAAAAGAAACAATCGACCCATCAAAAAAAATAATCTAACAATAAGAAACGAAAATATTTTATCTATGGGGCATATGGTAGGAAGGAGAACGTGTTCACAGTTTGCATATAATTATTTAGCACATTTTAGAAGAAAGCTTATTGGTGATGCTGATTGTCTAGACAGATTTGAAAAGAGAAGAAAGTAAGGGACAAAATGTCACAAACCAAGGGGACAGTCTATATTCTTAACAGAGAGAGGGGTGGGTGGTGGGGTGTATGCTCCTGTTAAGGAGAAGGAGACATTGCTTTCTAAAGTTACTTGACTGAGTTAATTGCTATTGCCTTGCAGATCATAGTGCGAAGCATCAAAAGGATTTAGAAAATTTGAATCTGTTGACACAGCCTTTCAGAACACTCAAGCTTTTCAGTATGGCGATGATGCAGTATCTTATGAAGTCGATAGCATATCTTTTGTCGCATCGATGGTGTATGCTTTTCAGTATGATTGCTGGACTTGCCTTAATACTGCTTGTGACAACCGATGGTCCTCATGTAAAGGTATGCTTCATCAATTTCAGATGCTTTTTTAGTGGATAAAGATGGTTACTTGTACCATCATCATAATATGTGTCTTGCACCCAAGGGCGGGGCTTGTGGTCAATGTAGTGGAAAATGCCCTGAGAGACCAAGGTTCAGATTCCGAAAAAGACCAAAAATAAAAACACTGGGTGATTTTTCACATCGGCCTAAGCCTTGGTGGGAGGCAATATGTAATTGGTGTTGTAGTTGAGGTGTGCGCAAGTTAGCATGGATACCACCGTTACCTAACACAAAACACATGTCTACCTTAAGAAGAAGAACTTTATTTCTTGTTACTGGAAGTCGACAATTGGTCAACTTAAAACTGGGTTTTCCATTGTTACATCACTAAGTGAACTGTTTGTTTGGATCCTTTTGGCAATTTTCAATTATTTTGTTGAGGAGTTAAAAAATGTCATATATCTATTTTCCTCAGCTTGTATGATACATCTGATGCCGAAAGGAATGGGATATATATAGAGGACTCATATAGTGACCCAACTAGTTTCGAAGAGGCGTTGTTTGGTTGTTTTGTGGTACCTATTATGTTGTATTTAAACTCAGTCCTGTCAGTGCTAATAGAACATGTCTGTTTCAATGCAGCATGTTGAGGAGGTTCTTAAACATCTCCAGTTTGGATTATGGTGGGTGGCTCTTGGTGTGGCGTCTTCTATTGGCCTTGGTAAGCAGCATTCACTGTTAGATTTGTTAGCTTCTTATGTTTAATGGATTCTATATTGGAGGGAGACCTATCTACTTGAATCTCCATAAATAGAACTTGCTAATAGTAATGGGGATTAAACTTGCTTTTTTCTAGCTTTTCCATAAAAAATCTTTGATCCGCTGTTTCGTTGCCATGTTGCAGGGTCTGGTTTGCACACTTTTGTCCTTTATCTGGGCCCTCATATTGCTTTATTTACGATAAAAGCAATGAAGTGTGGGCGAGTTGACCTCAAAATGGCTCCCTATGATACAATACAATTTCAAAAAACTCCTTTATGGCTTCATAAAGATTGTTCAGAGTTTGGCCCCCCTGTATTTTCATCTTCACATGGCACAAGTGTTCCTCTTAGTAGCATACTGCTCCAAGTGCAGTTAGAGGCTGTTTTATGGGGCCTTGGAACCGCACTTGGAGAGCTTCCCCCATATTTTATTTCAAGAGCAGGTTCGTCTACACTATCTTTTGTCTATAAGCCTACATCTGTATTGGGTAGATAGTTCAAACCTGCAGCACAAACCTATTTTGAAGCTACTGGTCTTAGTATATTAGGCTGTATTCAACCTTGCAGTGTGTTTAAAGATACTCACTTGTAATTTGGAAAGTTCACCCTTTTTTCAATCAAGAATTAAATTATTTGATTAACTTTTTTGAGTTTTAAATACGTGCCCAATGGGACTTGCTTTGTTGTCCGGGCCTTCAATCTTTTAGAACAGTGGTAGGAATTTGATTTTCCTTGGTCAATCAGCTGTACCTTGGGAGCCTAGATGTGCATAGCTTTTGCTATATTTTAGAAATATTTTTCATTTTTTGATAAATCAAGACCATAATTTGGAGACTTGTATTTTCTATTTGTTTACAATCTTGTCAGATGAAAAAGAGCATTTTGAAGCTAATGTATTTGCATACCTTTATGCAGCAAGCCTCTCAGGCAGTAAAATGGAAGCAATGGAAGAACTAGATACCTCTTCTGAAAACAATGGATTTATAGCTACTCGTCTGACTCAAATGAAGCGATGGTTTTTTTCCCATGCACAATGTTTGAACTTCTTCACAATTCTAATACTTGCTTCGGTTAGTCCAAATCTATATATAAATCTATCTTCTATTCATCCGGAGAACCATGCATAGAGGATAAACTTGATGACCTTAGTTTTGTATGCAGATACTATGTTCCTTAAGCTATACACTAGAGCATCATCCTCTCCCCAACCCCAAAGTGAAGTTGATTTTTTGTTGACTGTAAAAAACAGATTTGGTTTTTAGTACAAAATTATGGTTTTAATTTGATTATGTCTCTGCAAGCCACTGAACTTCCCGTAACTACAGAGAGCTGTAGTAAAGGTGGTGACCAGAAGTTCGGCAGGCCAGAGTAAACTGGCTTTTGGGGATGTTTGTCACTTGAGCAAAAATAATTTTGACGTTATAATAATCAAACAAATGTGTTGGTCCTGTAACTTTGACAATTGTGTCATACAGCATCTTCTTGAAGGAATTTTGTGTGGATTTCGAAAATATATTGTGATTATTCAAAACTTGGGAAGATCCCAATAGTGTAATCTCCAAAAGAAGTAATTAGAACTGGGACATACAGGACAAATATAATTTCAATTTTATCTTTTATCCTTTCTCTTTTCCTTGTTCTGTAGTTTTGGATTAGCTGCGTATGGTGGTATCTTTCAGTTAGCATGCAGATATATCTTCTCAAATAGTATAGACTGTTCTAATGGAAGTGCCTTTTGTAGGTTCCGAATCCTCTATTTGATCTTGCTGGCATAATGTGTGGACAATTTGGGATCCCATTTTGGAAGTTCTTTTTTGCAACTTTGATTGGAAAGGCCATCATTAAAACTCACATACAGGTCTGTCAACTCATTCATGAGTTTCAACATCTTAGACGCAGTTTCAATTTAGTTTAGTTTTGGCGTCATGTAAGATCTTTTCAGACTGGCCAATTTATTAAACATGTTGATCCTGATAGAGATGTGTTATTTGACTATCCTTCTGCAGACCGTGTTTATAATTTCAGTTTGCAACAACCAACTTCTTTATTGGGTGGAAACCAAGATGATTCGGATGCTTAGTTTTATACCTGGTCTCGAAACCATGTTACCCAAAATCATTGCGAAGCTCCATTCCATGAAAGACAAGTATATGGCTACCAAAACTCCTTCCACTTCAAATATAAAGGTATAGTTCATCTAATACTATTGTATGTGGTTAAATTCCTTAGTTTATCGTTCTCCATCTTAATTGAAACTCATAATCTTTGTCAGGTGAACAAATGGGATTTCTCATTTGCTTCAGTTTGGAACGGCGTGGTAACCATCATGCTACTGAACTTTTTCGTTAAGATTGTAAATGCTACTGCACAGCGGTATTTAAAAAGACAGCAAGAAGAGGAATTGGCTAGTCTGAAGAACAAATCATCTTGAAGGAAATCAGATAAACCCCCTCTTCATTCTCATAGATTTGTTTTTCGGTCAAGCTTTTTCTTTCCGCTATCTACCTTTGTTAAATAGGGGTTTCGAAGTGATTGGTGGCTACTTGGAGACTCGGCACCAGCAAGTCCATTTCACAAAACTTTGTACAAAAGAACACTAGTCAGTCTCACAAGTTCATTGACTATGTAACTTCAAGAAAAACATTATTTAGGGGGTGCCATTGTTGACAAAATTGGTGATCAGGAAACTGGAAAACTCATTATTGGGCAAATGATTCAACATTTAGAAAGTGAAGATACATTTTCTGCATTTATAAACAGGCCTGTTTTTTTAGTATAGCATTAGTGCTCTGCTGTTCTTCCCTCTTTTTTCTTTCATCGATTCATTGAAGTCGTGCTTGGCACGGACAAAAGATTTGTATTGTACCGTTTGCTGGAATTATTATTTTTATGTATCATCGTCATCAGTGATTTGATGTTCTTCTCTCTGATCTCGTCCATTTGCATTCTGATCGTCGTCATGCATAGATAGTCGGGCACTTTTAGTGATAGTCACAGCTCTGAGATAGGAAAGCTTCTTCACAATTTTGTTATGAAGGGGAGCCGTGGAGTAACGTAAAGTCATCTCATCTCATGTGACTTACGTGAGATTAGTCATTAATGCTTGTGTCATGATAGACTCCGACCTATAGGGCCTTCGCAAAATCAACGGTCTCACCGGGAACTAGACAAGCACCTAGATGTAAATTCTCAGGCCCTAGCCCGAAATTCCTTTTTATGAACTTGATGTCGATAAATCTGCGAATCTATAAATTCATTTCGGCCAATTGAACCTTCTCGAACTCTTTCTTTTTAAGAACCTTTATATCTCGTCTAGCAGAAACTAATCGAGCTCCGTTTGATCTCCCAGACGCGGAAGCTGAATCAGTTGCAGGCTATGTAGAATATGCGCGGGATGCTAGTGTTTTAAATGAAAAAAGTAAAAACGAATAGAGGAAGTAATAAAAAAAGAGTAGAGTGATCAAGAAGCAATTAAATTCGACTTTATATAATAAAATGCTATTGAAATTGTAAATATAGTAGGTGTCATCATCACTTGTGTAATCTTTATATTATACTGATTATTTTATTAATTATTCAATTAATAGTCAGTAATCATCGTTTAAATCAAGATAATTGTAACCACAACCATTTGTCATTTTATAAGTTCAACATTAAATAAACTTCACATCAGTCTTCATGTCTACGTAGCTTAAAATATTAAGATCCTAATCACTAGTACTATCGTCAACTTAATTAATCAATAATTAATTATTATATTATCTGAGTTTCCTCCAAGTCAGGTGATTTAATTAACAAATCAATTTTGATTCCTTTTTTCTTTCAATAAGAATCCAAAGATAATGTGTCCATGTTATCTACTAATTTAATTCATTAAAAGAGATCTTTATTTTTAATAAAACTTTGTCCCATCAGGCCATTAAAATTCATATAGGACAACTAATGGAATATTTATTAGTTGGTTTCAACCTAGGGATTCCTATAATCAAGATGTCTAATATTTAAATAAACCAAAATGGATATGTACATGTACATGTAATTATATATATTATCTATGCATCAATACGAGTTGTGGTGAAGTAGTTTTACATATTTCAACAAAGATTTGAGTTCGAGCCTAATATAAAAATATTTTTATTAGGAAATATTTTATATTATATGATACTTTGTAAGTCAAATTTAAATTTAATCAGACCTCAATATTGATATTGAATACTAAAAAATGAAATCTAAAAAAAATATTATCTTTACCACCCACCCCATCTAGGGGGGTTAGGGCATTGTGGGGTGGGGGAGACAAGAAAGCAACCACTTTTGACAAATTAAGTAATGATGGAATTATATATTAGTGAAGCATATGTAGGGACTAGTAAAATGCATTAAGTTAATAATGGGGTCCAATTTGGCTTAGTGATTGAAATGTGGGGCTTTATTTGGTGGGTGATTTCATTGTCAGAAACTACACTATAGTTTTATAATAATAAATATTGGTAGTAGAGCCAATATTTGTTTTTAATGGCTTGAATAGTAAGTTACTCATATCTACATGGTTTGCTTTTATATTTCTCTTAAATTTGCTTTGTTTAACTTGTTTTTGATATCACCTTTTTGAAGATCTCCTCATTATTTCATTAGATTTTGTGACATCATAATTAAGTAAAAATTTACTCACATCAAATATTTATATCAATAAAATATCATATGTCTAAATATAGAGTTATACTTTCTCCATGCCTAGACGTTTGTATATTTTGTTTTTTAAGAGTTTAAACTATATGAATTCTGATAAATATGAATTTATGTTTACACCATCTTAAGAGGCCAATACATGTAAAAAGGAAAAGAAGAAAATAAGAGATTTTTGTTGGCATTTGAAATTTCACCACTAAATTTCCACAAGTGTTAGGTTAATGTTTGCTATCTATTAATTTTGTCTTCTTTGAATATTTGCATCATCCAACTTCCAAAATAGTTAGATATATAACACTATACTTGTTGACTAATACCCATTCGATCCGTTTACTTTTACTTAACATTTTTAACATATTAAAAAATATAATTATTATTTTTGTCTATTTTATCCTCAAAATTAATTACTTATTTTTAAAATAAAACTCTCAAAATTTAAGATTATAGGTTAATAAATATAATCATTGTGATAAGATATTCATATTAATTATTGTTCTTAAGAGAGGTGCAAACTAGACAAATGAAAAGGTAGCCTAGATTCATTATACAAAAATGCACTTTTTACACTGTCCTTTATTGACTAGTAGAGTTTAATTTTTAATTTTAATGTAATGATCTATCAAAAGACATTATAGAAACTCCAATAATTGATACTAAATTAAAATTCATTTATTTAAATCCAGTCAATAGAAGATCATAATTAAGATTAACTTGTCTTTTCAAAAGTAGTAGGAGAAAATGTTTTAGAGATGAGAGAGAGAGAGAACAATATTCCAAAACTAAAAACTTGGTAAATTAATTCATAAATTTGTGGTAAGAATATTATTAAAGAAATAATGTCAAATATTATAGAATGCGTACGGGAAAATTCCATAGCTAGCTGCCTAGCCTTTTCTGGCCTCTCGTAATTGAAAAATAACAATAATTCTAGAGTTTTTAAATTTACAAGTTAAATTTTCAAATCGTTGATTTTGAGACTCAAGATGACACTTTTTTAAAAAATACAGTTGAAAAGTGGATAGTGAACGCTATTCCTAGGTAGACTGATTGTGTATAAATTTGAATTATTTTTTTCCTAATACAAACTAATAATAGACCAAAACAAACCAAAAAAAGAACTAAGAAAGAATTTTAAAAGAAGAAGAAGAATTAGAATTTGCATCTTAAAATTTGAAGAGAGGCAATCAAGATATTAAGCAATCACAAAATTTTCCTACTTGTGTAATCAAATCAATCAATCAATCATGCTTCAATCTTAAACTATTTAAGATCGATTATATGAATTCTCTGTATCCATTTCGTTTTCTTTGTGCTCGTGATAACTACATACGTAAAATCTAACCTTTTTCTCCAAAATGCAGATACACTTGAGAGTTCCATAGCCAAAAAAGCTTCAAGAGACTATTTCAAGATTAATTGTTTATTTATACCCTTTGCTATTGGCTTTTTCTATTTTTCTAAAAGTAGTAGAATAATAGTCATCAGCTAACGGTCAATTTAATTGCTGTTGGGATCTTTACATTATTGCTGAATTTATCCATATGTGATGGACCCCAAGGCCCAATTTAGTCATGAGTGGATATGGAATTTGAAATTAATATGTACATTAATTCAAATATAATTATGAAATATTTAAAAACTTTTTCTCTATATGATCTTTGGAGACTCTTCAAAACCATAGGTAATATGAAATGGAGTTTTAGAATCAAAATTATCTAAGTGTCATATAAAAGCTAGCCATATAAGATCAGAGGCGAATCTAGGATTTTTCGAATATGGGTGCACCAAGAAAAATGTATTATGTGGAAATTGATCCTCAGTCCTCAAAGTCAAAAGCTCAACATTTAACCATGTGGACCAACTAGATTTTTTATAGTACGGGTGCAAGAATATAATATTATACAAATGTTAGAAAATATATACATAAAATATCTAATTTTACGAAGAGACCACGAGTTCGGGCGCCCTATTTTTTGCACTTAAATTCACCACTGTATAAGATACAATAACAAATTTAAGAAATATGAGGAGAGTGATGTGTATGTTTCCTTACTCTTATTTTGTGATGGTAGAAAGTTGATAAATCATTGGTTCAAGTAAAGCACAACAAAATTAAGTATGAAAAGAAATTAAACTACAGTAATAAAGAAGTCGTGCAAAAAATATGAACAATATATCAAAAGATATATCTATACAAGTATTCAATCAAATACATGCGAGTAAATTTGGTTCGAGGGACACATAGAACAATTCGGCATAAATTGATATCGACACCTCAAAATTCAGCAACCTCACCTCCATATGAATCCATTTTTTTTCATTAATATAAAAAAGAATACAAAACATTAAACGAAAATTCTGCCTCTAAACAAGATTTCCTCAAAAATGAGAAAAAGAATCATCAATTTATAAAAGTACAAAAAAAAATCTCCGAAAATCAAATTAGCTAAATATAAAAGGCTTCATATTCTTTTTAGAAATAGTAAAATTAAAATAACCATCTAATAATAGGAACACACTTTATAGATAAGGCACCCACTTATCCACCTATACAAGAAAGAGTGTAAAAGAATTCGACACGTAAATTTTTTACCTTTATTTATGAATCGATTAATTGATTCAACTATTTTGGTTACCAATCATTTGTCTATCCTAATTGGACCACATATTGAAATATCATCAATAATGGACCTAGCCTCTCAAAAGTTAGCAACTATTTAGGACTCACTGCCTACTATGTTTTTTACCTACTTTTTAAAATTTCATAAATAATTATAGTTTAAAGTATGATTATTATTAGTAACAATAATTTATTTTATTAAAATTTATAGCTATTACATTAGAGTTGCATATGTTCGTTCAATTTAGTAATATTAATACATATAATTTGTTGAATACAAGTAAAAGTAAATGAAGAAAATACTTATTTTAGATGGGATCGGACGAGCATATTATCAAAATTTCGAGAAGATGAGTGTCCTTTTATAAATAAAAAAAAGTAAATTTATGATATAACTTTGATCAGTTTGACATTTAGATTTTTATCACTTAATTCGTTAAACTTTTAAAATTATAGGTTCAAA